TTTTTTTTTTATTATTTTTTTTAAAGAAAATACTACATTTGCTTATATATAGTATCGATTGATAGATATTTAGATAGATAGATAGATGCATGGCACATTGTTCATATGCAACGGATGACCTGTCTGTGAAGTTTATTCAAAGAACAATTGCAAACAACCCCACTCCAAGATCCAAGTCCAAATCTAATTTTAAAATTGTGTTTAAATCAATAATTTGAGGAGATATTTGTAGAGCAAAAAGAAGAAGAAAAAAAAAAATCAATAAAATTGAAGCTATTTTTTCCGTACTTTCTTTTCTTTTTCTTCACAAATCCACACATTTGTAACATTTGGGGGAGTTAGATAGGCATTTAGGCCACGTTTGTTTGGCAGATTAGATTGGATGGGATTATTAGTAAGAGGATTGTTAGTGAAGAGATTGTTAATGTGTGGATTGTTAGTGAGGGGATTAAGTAAAAGTGTGTTTGTTTTGATGATAGTGTGGGAGATGATTAGTGATGGAATTGTTAAATTATTTTTATATAAAATAAATAAATAAATTATTTCTATATTAAAAAAAATTAAAACAAATATTAAAACAACTAAGAGCACTTGGTAAGAAAAAAAAAATTAAAATAATAAATTTTTTATATAAAATAGACTCAATCCCCTCACTATTTTCCTAATCCCACCTAAAATTCACCCAAGCTAATCCCCCAACAGAGGGGGATTACTAAGCCCCCTTCACTGCTAATCCTATCACATTGTGTTGCATCCAAACAAGGGTTTGGTGGGTCCCACGGATTGCTAATCCAATCCACCCTCCCAAATCCCCAATCAAACATGGCCTTAAAGTTGTGTTTCGATTATGAATTTTAATAAAAATTTAAAAAGAAAAAAAAAAGTAAAAAAAATGTGAACAAAATATAAACTTTTTATTTTTGATTTTTTATTTCCTTTGCCTTTTCTCTTTCTTTTCCGCTTTCCTCTTCAAACCACATAAAGAAAAAATTATTAAATGCACTTCGAGATGAGTCCACACCAATCACCAATTGAAATATCTCATATTGTCTTTCCAAATATTAATTACACAAACAAAAGTTATATATCATTCACATTCAAGACTTTAAAATAGCAAGCAGTGACCACCACTTCTCCACTTGAAGAGGTAAATGAACTCTCACAGCATACTGCCAAGTTTGCAAACAGAGTGTGCTTTAAAGATCCTGACTCACACCATAATTCAAATGCAAAGAACATTTTCAACCAAAAGAGAGTAGCAGTAAGGCTTCATAAAGAATGTTGGTGATGACTTTGTTCTCACAATTTAATGTGTTGGACCCCTCTACTCTACTGACCTCCTTCTAATTCTGTAAAGATTAACCTTAAATTCTTTCATTTCAAATTTATTACTTGTCTAAATGAAACCAAAGTTAATAAGAAGCAGTTGGGGTGGTTTACAATATTAAATGATATATATCATCAATATAATTTGGCAATATAATTTTTGAAGCTGAATTTCAATAGATAATTTCAACAAATAAATTTTTTAACAGATAATTTCAACAGATAATCAAAAAAAATTAAACAGATAGATATTTGAACCACTAGTCAAAAAAATTAAAAGATAGATTAAAGGTGTAAAATTATAAATAAAATGTGTTCCAAAATAACAAAATGTATTTTTCACCACAATATTTGATAAAGAGTATACTTTTCACCCCCCCCCCCCCCAAAAAAAAAAAGAAAAGAAAAGAAAAGAAAAAAGAATAATAATAAATGATAAATAATGTGACGGAAGTATCATATCCCGATGTTGAGGTCACATAATGAACATTTGTGACAAATAATTTTAATTGAAAACATTTACCATCCCTTTTTCTACCTCCAACCTGTTTTAACTGGTGAAAACTTGTGGGCCATACTGATGTGGTCAAATGCATTGATGTGGATCATTAGTTAAGGATCAAGGAGGCTGTTTAATGTTTTATCATTTACACATTGATGCTTTTTGTAATAGGCCTTTGGTCTTTTTGTTAAGTGTTAGTCAAGTTAATTTTGATTTATTCATCTCCCAGTCAATTGTACTTGGCAGATCCCTATATATGCCAGAGCTCAAGACCTTTCACATCTCTTAGATCTGAAGAAAGCAGGTGCAACAGATGCTATTCTTGAAGATGCAGAGGTATCATAAATTAATTTCCTTGTTAGATCTCACAATTAGAAAATTTTGCTTTATTGTTGCCTCGGCAATCTGACTGTATCCATTTGATTTCTGCAGACAAGTTTACAGCTTGGCTCTAAGCTTTTAAAAGGGTTCGGTGTCATGTCTGATGATGTGACCTTTCTTCGTGAGCTTGTTCAAGGCTCCATGGAGATACAAGCTCAAGAAGAACTCAACAAAACTGGTGATCAAGAAATTGAAGTTATGAATCCATTCCAGGTACTAATAAATGCATGCATATATACATGTCTTTTGTGTGTGTTTATAGTTACTAGCTAAGTTGCACTGGCACAGATATGATGACATAGTGATTTTATTACAATACATGATCCGCCGGGGACTTGTTAAAAGATTATATTTTTATAAATTTACATGTCAAACATATGAATATTTTATTCAAAGGTAATGAAAAAATAATATGACACTATTTAAAAATAAAAAGCCATATATTCTATAACTCAAGTATCAATATATCATTCACATAACAAGTGTATTCTAAAGAACACAAAATAATTATAGAACATTGAAATACATGTATTCATCTTTTAATTGTTTCAAAACATATTTAGAGTGCACAAGTCGCTTTCTGAAGAATGCAGAACATTGTTACTGAGAAGAGATTTAGCGCGTGGGGTGTTTGGATGTCGGAGTGTCCGCAAAGTGTCCAATATTATGAATTTAAAATTTTAATTAAGACACATTAAGAAAAGTGTTGGAAACACTTTTAGGACTGTTTGCATAGTGTTGGTGTCCAACATGGGTGTCCTCCACAACACGCTTCTCCACAGAAGTGGTTGCGCTTCTTTGGTTACCTATTATGTACGGCTTTTTTATGGCATCAAGCATGTGCTGTCCCTTCTAAGTTTTCAAGGGTCGCACCCTTGGAATATTTATATTAAGTTCTTTACTTGTTTCCTGTTCTTTATATCATACATACTGTGAAAGTCTCCAAAATTTTTGCATTGTATACATGAATTTCTGCAATGTATTGTGGAGGTTGTTATTAATTCCCAAATGTACATGGAATATTGAATTTGTCATAATTTTTTTTTTCACCAATCTGACATTTAAGCATATGTACCCCATATGTAACAGTGAAATTTAATTTTGGTATTGCTGTAGTTTATGTGACATGTTTTGCTTTCTTAACATGCCACCTAAAGAAATCGACCGTTTACTTAATGAAATAGTGATTTTGCTGGGTAAGGTAAGAGTTGCAGACTTGGTTGGGACCAGGATACCCCCACAATCAGCTGAAGACAAATCATTTAGGGTGAACCAGACACAGATAAATCACGTCATGAGGACGCAGGGGAAAGTAGATCAACCAGAGGATGGTGGTGAGCTCCATCAATCCGAGGATGTGGATGGCAAAGGCGTTGTATACTGTGAATTGTATTCGGAGAACAGTTTTTCAATCAGCAGTGAAGACGCAGAGGAGGGAGAGAAAATCAAGGTAGATCCATCGACACCTTGTGTAACAACCAGTGAGGGACCTTGAATAGGATCATTTATGCTTTTATTATTTATTTTGATAGGCTTAGGTTTTGGTAGTGTTGATCTAAAGCCTAGTGCTTTTAAGTTTGAACCATAGCCCTCTTGTCTTTTGAACATTGTCAGTTTTGTTGCTGAGAGCTTGAGACAGTATGGCAGAGGATTAGGTTTACTTTCATACTAGGTTCAAGTTTTGTTATTTTATGTTTAAAGAAACACAAGTGTATATAATTGAATTTGATGACAGTAATTATTCAATCAAATGTGTTATTTTTCTTTTTCATCGGTCTTTAATATGCGGTTACGGTTCTGAAGAAATGGGAAGACTACCATGCTTGATCAAAAAATATGCAAACATGGTTTGGAAGTTTTTCTCTTAGAAATGGTTTGGGATTTGATATATATGGTGTTGCTAAATTTGTAATGAGATTTTTGGTTGGTGGAGAAAATAACTGTCAAAATTATATTGACAATTTTAATTAAAAAATAGACCTTGTGGGGACCTAGCTCCCCTTTAGTTAAATATGTAGCAAAAAAAACAAACAAACTCTTGAAATGCATACTCTATAAAAGACTTTTCATCAATCATTGAAGTTGTGTTTGGCAAAATAGGAAAGAAGGGAATTGAAGAAAATTTTGAAATACTGTATTTTACCTTATTTGATTGACTTATAAATAAAAAAAAAATAACAGAGGTTTAACTCCTCCCTTTAATCTTCATTATCTAAATAAAAAATTGGAGAGAAAGGAGTTTCAATTTAAATTTAGGTCCAACAAACACTACTTAGAATACAACGCAATCAAATATTTTCCATGAACTCTCTATCTACTTTATTCTTAACTAAATAAAGAAAACCTCACACACCAAATATTTTCCAACAAACACTACTTAGAATACAACGCAATCAAGTAATTTAACTTATTTAATTACTACAGAGAAAAATCAGCAGAGTCTAGTTCTCCCTCTACAGATAATAATAAAGGGTTAATTTTCTAAAATTTTTATTTATAAATGTTATGGTAACTCAGGTCTTATTTAAGAGTTTTTGAACCAATAAATCCTATTTAGTAAAACTGATAATATTATCAATTTTTTTCTAATTTTTAAACCTAAGAACATTATCAATTTTACATAGTAATGTTCCATATAATTGTTTCACTAATTGATGAAAAAAAACAAAGCATAAGATTAAAAAATTTTGCCTTTTTATTTATTGGTTTGATTAATTATCCAATAAAACTGAGAACGTTATCAGTTTTTTCATTTTTAATTTTTTTTCCAGTGTTTTTTTTTTTGGTGTTTCACATTAATGTTCCAACATTATACTCCTTTATAAACACAAAATTTTTAGTTTTGCACAAAAAAATAATTCAATTTTTTCAATAAAACACATTAATTTTTTTTCACACATAATTTTTTTTTTCTAATTTTTTCAATTTGAAAGTTGATATTTTAAAATTTTGAAAATCAACTTAAATGTCAACTCATCATGTTCTTTTATAAATAATTATAAATGATGAACAATCATTGTTTGAAGGGTAATTTTGACTATTAAAAATTTAATGAGATTTGGAGGTCCAAAAACTCTTAGTTAAAATTTAAGAATAATGTTTTATGCACCAATTAGTGTACTAACTAGTGTACAAATTGATAATGTGATATAATTTCGGAGGTTTTTGGCATTTGTAATTTATATAATGAATGGAGTTAATAATAATGTCATAATTAGTGTTAGTATACTAGTTAGTATACTAAATGATACATGTAACAGCACAAAAAATTTAATGGAGTATAAATTTAGAATAATGCTATATGCGCCAATTAGTCCACTAATTAGTGTACCAATTGATAATGTGACATAATTTAAGAGATTTTTTATATTTGTAATGTGAAAAAAAATACAATACCAAGGCTAAAACATCAAATCATTCATGGTGAGGCCTACTGCTACATCATTAGTGGTAGCACTAATTAGTGCTCCCACTCATTTTCCTATATAATAACTATAATATATATATATATATATATTTGTCGATTTTACTAATGATTTAGATTGAAAGCAAATTAAAAAATTAGGATTTGAATTGACAAAATTAAAGGCTAAAACCTTTTTTTTTTTTGTTTTTTGCTAAACTACCAATAGGTCATAATAGCTGAACTTAATTCTATCAAATCCTATTGAAAATAGTTTATAGTAAAATTATCGTTAAAAATAATTTTTTGTAATGATTTTTTGCACATGTCACTAAAAATTGACAATTAGTAACTTTTTTTATCTCGATTTTTATAAATTGTAGTTAAAATTTGCAATCAACGACGTTTTTATGTGATAAATTTTTCAAACTGTCGTTGAAAGTTAAAAATTAATAACTTTTTTTTTGTGATATTTTTTTAAATTGTTGCTAAAACTTATAATTACTGACATTTTTTGTGACAAAATTTCAAACTATTATTGAAAATTAACAATTAATGATATTTTTTAATAGTGTTTGACAAAAAATGTCATTAATTATCATAAAGTCTATTAAATAATAAGTTCGCATATTATGACCTATATCTAAGTTTTTTTTTTTGTGTGGTAATTATCCCTTAATTTCTTTAGTGATTTTTAAATTTTAAATTTTTAAAAAACTGTTATATAATTATCCTAAAACTTTTGGGAGTTGAGTGTAATTTAACAAAGAATGTATATTAGCTTCGAGGGTGCCTCTATTTACACACCATAATTTATCTTAAGGCAAACCATTTCTAAAAGCACACCTTTAATAATTTAGTAAATATATATTTTGCTCATTGCACATCACAAATTTACATATTTATCCTTACTCTCACACACCCACAACAATATACACACACAAACTCCCATATTTGCCCTCACTCACTCACACACCCCCCACACACCCACCTTCGTCCATCTTCCCCCCTCCATTCTCAGTTTCAATTGGTGAACTGTGTGTTACACTGTGTTGGTGCTCAACACAGGCAGTGGTGAAGACGTCGTTGGTGCTCAAGTAAAGCAGCAGGTGAGTTCTCATTTCGCTTAGATTTTAGGGTTTTATGAATTTGTTACCATTGCCATGAATGAATCAATTCCAAACCGTTCGACACTGTAATTTCGAACGCCATTCGACACTTGAATTTCGAACCGAATCATTTTGTCCGGCTTGTTGTTGTCGAACTTGTTCGGACGTAGATTGTTGAACTCTAATGCTTTGCTCGATTCTTTACTGTCGAACACTTTATGAATTTTTTAATTTTTTTTTTCCCCCACATTGGGAAAGTTTATAATAAATTGATATAATCAGTTTGTCTTCATGAAGTCTTCTTGCCACCATATTTAATTGATTTGAAGATAAAGGAAAGTGTTTTACCCTATCAAATTCAGTACCTGTTTCCACCGTGAACCATTACAAAACTTTAAAAAAGGGTCTTGAGCTGTTTGACCACTGCCTCAATGTCAATTTAGAGAGAGAAGAGAACAAGATCCACCAGATATGCTTTTCCAGCCATTTAATTTTTTGTTCTAAATGTCTTTACAGTGTCTAGGCATCCTGTGGACTTATATTGCCACATTTTCAAGCTCCAGATAGATGTTATTATTAACATAAGGCATCCTGTGGACCAATATTGCCACATTTTCATTAAAAACTAATTCACAATCAATGCACAATATTCAATTTATAATTCTATTCAGAAATTACTAAGGTCCAGAATTTTTTATTTT